TGCGCAAGAGCACCAGCAGCAGCACGAGCAGCACCGCGAGCAACAGCAAGCCAAGCCGCAGCAACAGCAGCTACGGCGGCAACGCCAGGCAGCGGGCAGCCACGGCGGCGTCGCAGCTGTCGCGTAGCCGTCACACGTCGCGCTCAATGCCCGAGAGCTCCAAGGACAACAGGAAAGGTGGCGGCGACGAAGATCTAGGTATCTGCACGCGTCGCCGCACGGGCAGCACCCACAACCTGGCCAAGATCCCCAAGGTGGGCAAGGCGCGGCAGGCCGTGCTGAGAAAGCGGTCGACGTCGTCCGCGGGCAGTAGGTCTCAGATCGTGCCGAAGATGAACGTCAACGAGCAGGAGAAATCGGAAACGGACTCTGACAGCGACAGGGAGGACTGTGAGCCTCAGTTCACTGCGAGTGAGCCGTGCAGTCCCGAGCCGAGTCCGCGCCCGGCCCGCCGCGCCACGTTCGCCATCTCGTGAACATTCCGCCGACACGTGTATGTCCAGGTTATATGCGTGTCTTGGACAGCGAGCGCACGAATTGGCAATGCCTGCCTGCGTGCGTGCGGTACAGAGTCGTGGCCCGCTGAGAATTCAGCTGTCACCCCTCATTCCCTGTTCAGATCGCGTCCGCTGTATCTGCAGCCAGTAGCGCCGTCGAGCTCGCTCGGTGGCTACTGTCAAATCAAGCACATTTGTGTTGGAACAGCTTAGCTACCGTTCTCCACTTACGGTTTCACGCCATCCACTGATGTGGCCAGTGTACACGTGCGCAGCTGCCAGAAAACCGCTAGACATCGGCAGTGGGCTTCTGTTCAATAATCCCCCGGCTCAGCTCGCACGCCGTCAGCGGTGTGTGGTATTTCTTTCAGGGGTTCTAGCGTGTCATCCGCGCTGGATGAACCGTGGTGCTCCGGCGATTCTCGGCCGCTCCCCCAGCTCTTGTCTTCACATCTATGCTCATCGCAATGGACGGCGTTCCTGTTGAATGCAGTTCCCAGGTCCCCGAAAAAAACCACCCCGGCTGCCCTGTACCCATGTGGCCATTTCCTAACCATGTCCATAACAACAACAACTCGTCATGCTCGAGATATATTCCCCAAAGGTAGCTGTAAAGCTACACAGATCTCCCCACGATACCCGGCCGCCGCGTAATATTGCGTTGGTCAGCATGCAGCCCTTCTAGTCCTAGCAATGCCCTCTAGCGGGCAGCACCTATTCCTCGAGAAGCAAGATGTGTCATTCATTTTCGTTTACATCGTCTCCTCTCTCCTCTGTCTCTATTTATCTCTCTATCTATCTCTGTCTCTCTCTCTCTCTGACTCTCTCTGTCTCTCTCTCTCTGTCTCTCTCTCTTTCTCTATCTCTCTTTCTCTCTATCTCTTTCTCTATCTCGTGAGTTGCACCTCTGTGTGCCTGTCCAATACCCTGTCTAGCATTGCTGTGTGGACCCTGCTGCGCACACGAGTTTCTGGGACATGAGTAGTTTTGGCCAACGCGTGCTTGGCACTCCACTTCATGTTCTGCTGTTGGTTACACGCATACACTTCTCCACGGGACCGGTGCATGTCTGCAGTTAAGCTGCATGTTTCACGCTTCTTACCTCCTTGCACATTCAACGTTGGTGCAACATCTTCCTTATGTTTATTGCTGAGAGTCGTTGAATCTTCCGACCATCGATCCCTGTTTTTGGTCATGGCAAATGCCGTGGTCCTATTAGAGTTTTTTTTTCTCCCTTGCATCTAGTTCCTGTGTCTTTATTGACTCTTTAACGATCTCTCCGAGTTCTCTCTCTCTTTTTCTCTCTATCTCTCTCTCTCTGTCTCTCTCTCTCTGTCTCTCTCTCTCTCTCTCTCTCTTTCACTCAGTCACTCTCTCTCTCTTTCTCTCCATTTCTTTTAGTTGTTCTCAGCAGCAGGCTGCGCTCTGCACTGCAGAGCTAGTGCATGGGTGTTTGACCGAGGACCGCGGCTTTTCTTCGCTGCTAGCGGCGACCCGGCTCGCACCAGAACATGTTCACCTCCCTGAGCTGCTTGAATCAAGTTCATCCTCATCCTTTTCCTCCTCTTCTTCCTCCTCCTTCTCCTCCTGGTTTCTGTTTCGCTTGAACGTCTCATATCATTTTAGTGCCTGTCATTGTGCAGTTTATTCTACTTCAAAGTACTACCAAGAACAGTACATAAAACGGTTTATGTACTCATCCTGGTATTACCTAATACATCCTGCTCTGGTGTTGAACTGAGATGAGGTTTGAGATCTCTGCATATGTTTTGTACCTCAGTATACTCCTAGTAATGTCGAATTTCTTTGATGTTCATCTGTCAGTTGAGGTGACTGCCAGACGACTGCTAGTGAGAGGCGTTGCTTTGAAGTGCTGGCCCGACCGCATGCCTGAAGAAAGTGATGTGTGTGTGTGTGCGCGCGCCCACGCGCTCGTGTGTGTTTGTCAGTTATCTGGCGCTAATCTTTATCCGTCTCGTCAGGAGCACATAACCCCCAAGACTAAAAACAGCAAGAGTGTGCAACTGCCTGCACAACCTCTATGCTGTGCTGCGACGGCAGAACTTCGCATCACGTGACATGGTTCAAAAGGTTACACTGGAAAACAGTGCAAAGTGATCACAAGAGAGTTGTACCCAAAGCTGGGCTGCGTACAACCAAGAGTACATAACCCCCCAGAATGTGCAACTCCACGTGGCCACTATGGGTGCTGTCCCGACAGAATTTCAAGTTGACGTCATTTTGATGATGCAATGCGCACTGTACACGGATTATCAGACGAATCCGGAACCTGTGGTTGACCGCGAAGCCGATCGATCCTGTACAAATTATTGCAAAGAAAAACGTGTGATGCGTTGACACCCGTACCCGTACACATGTTGTAAAAGCTGCTGCAAGGAGCATTGCGTCATAAATAATGACGTCAACTTGAAATTCTGTCGGGACAACAGGGTATGTGGGAGTTGCACACTCTGGGGGGTTATGTACTCTTGGTACAACCCTGTATCTATCATGCACAGAGTGCAAATAATGTGTACGGGTTCATCACGTGATGTGAAGTTCTGCCGTCGCAGACTCCATAGCTACTAGTAGCTGGAGTTGCACACTCGTGGTCTCATTCAGATCTTGTCCGCTATCGACATGGTGTGTGTGTGTGGCACGGGAGCTGGTTTATGCAATCATTAAACCAGCTGTGGTACCCCCCCCCCCCCCCCCCCCCAGTGCACACCAGGGAGCAGTGGTTTTACTATTAATAGAGACCATTTAGCAAACCGTCGGGCGCGACGATTGGGACAAACTGGGAACGAGGCCGGCGCGCGGGAAACTCGAATCGCTCTGTGAGCACGACTGGAGCAGCCTCAAGGCCCAACGGGTGATCACGAAACGATTACGATTCTCGAAAATCGATTTTCCCTCGCGTTTCTCCGGACAACCCAGCTTCCCCGCACCACGCGCCGTGCATGCTTGGATGATTGGGAATCAGAGCTGTCCAATCGGTCGACCGTAAGCGTGACGGTTTGCTAATGGTCTCTATTTGCCGGCATACACTTTTTTTCATGACTCTACAGCCTAGGTGGTGAGTGGTTCCCAAGAGAAACAATCATCCGGTTTACTATATACATGTCCACTCATATCAGTATTGTAACCTCGGTTACCCGAACCCAGAAGTTACGGGCACCCTTCGGGAGAGATTCAGTGGAAATAATTATAATATGTACACTCATACCTCGGATATCCGGGGCCCCAAAGTTACGGGCACTTCGGTCTACCGGGCTCCCTTCGGGCGAGTTTCATTGGAAATATTGCCGGTAGTGCTCTTTCGTCACTTTTTGTGGAAATAGTTGCACCATATGCCATATCTATGGACTTTCCCTGTCGAAATGTACACGTCTGTGATTCGGAGTTACGGACATTAAATTTTAAAGTCACGGGCAGTGCCCGGTCGCGGACCGCCGGGCAAGCAAGTACCCGTATACACTAGAAAGCTATTAGTTCTCCGGTACAGGCTGCAGTAGAGAAGGCGCGTGTACAGTATTATCACCAGCATTCAATCTGCCCTGCCTCACTGAAGCTGCCACGACCATCCATGACCATGTTCAAACAGGACTGGCCTCCACCTATACCCAGAAACGAACAATTTCTAAATTCGTTGGTAAAGATGGTGCAAATTTCCCCAGTTTTAGGAATTTATGCTGGTTTGCAACAAGAAACTTTCACGATTGTATCTCTTCAGTTGAAACAATGTATTCTGCAGTCAATGTGCAAAGCAGTGTACGGCAATTATAGTTATACATGTATACCGTCAAGTACAGTACTTAAGTCTTGTATAAAGGCCGCAGCTTCTATGACTTTCTTGGTGAAATTTTGCAGGCTTCTATATGAGACAAGCTTTCTATACAAGAGTAGCAAGACAGGCATTTCTATGTATGTCAACACTAAAACCAGGCTTATGATTGTGTGATTTGATGGGCCCAAAATTGCGGCTTCTATTCAAGTGCGGCCTTTGTACAAGACTTTACGGTATTCACGAATGTGTGTTGGTCGCAAAAATATAGCGGAATTTTATCTCAAGCGAAAAATTCCAACGTTTACAGCAGGGAGTCGTAAAAAAAAGGTATTTTACGACTCCCTGGTTTACAGTCCACACAGGCTTGTGCACTATTATGAACATACTGCATGATCTGAACCAGTGCCTCGGGAGCCTTTAGAGTGAAAGCAAGAGTACAATGGAGTTATGTACTCGTGGCAAAACCTGGCGCGGCAATTACTGCTCTACTTCGAAAGACTTGGCAGTATTCACAACAGGCACGCCAGAACAGAGAAAGAAGAAGAAAAGAAAACCACAACGAAGGCGCTCCCCCTATACCCTGCACTGTTTGAAAACCCAGACCAAACGGCCGGCAAGAATGAGGCGCTAGGTCAGTGGTAAACACTACACAGGAGAAACAATAATAATTATTTATAACAAACACAACCCCTAGCCCTGTGCCGTCGCCGCTCATAGAGGTTTGCAAAACATTCTCTTAGTTACACAAGAGTTAGGCTTGAGAGAGAAAAAGATCATGAGAATAATGCCGGCAGCTGCTACCAAGCGGATTCAAGTAAGAAAGAGAGAGAGAGAGAGAGAGAGAGAGAGAGAGAGAGAGAGAGAGAGAGAAATCTATTATTAAAACAGGCAAACAGTTGACAACCGCCAGCAGAGACTGCAGAGTGCGAGAGAGTGTGTGTGAGAGAAAGAGAGAGAGAGATAAATAGCCAAGCTGTGCAATATGCACGACGGGAGCACACGAGCACTACCACGCTACAGCAACTGCGCACTATACGCACAGCATTTCCAAACGCACGCATATCCAGCAGCAGCAGCGGCGGCCAATACAGGACATCTTATATCCAGGTACAGGCGAGAAGAGCACCAAGAAGCAGTACAGAGCCTGCACAGACAAATTATAAATAGACTGCGTAAACAAAGGCGCAGGCAGCAACGCATCTCTCAGCAGGGATAGGATAAGGAGAGCATGAAGCGACAGCTATGATCACAACGAGAAGCAGCAAGCCAGTTTCGAAACCTGTAACACTACAGTCATATCGATGGCAAAAACTAGAAGAAGCAGGGGATGAAGCTGACAGAGTCAGGGGATGGGCTTGAAGAGGCAGGGCAGTTGGCAAGCAGAAATACCTAGACATATCACTACTATTTTAAGAAAAAAAGACAGCAACGGCAAAGCTAAAAGCAGGCCAGAACCATAGCAGAGAGAGAGAGAGAGAGAGAGAGAGAGAGAGAGAGAGAGAGAGAGAGAGAGAGAGAGAGAGAGAGAGAGAGAGAGAGAGAGAGAGAGAGAGAGAGAGAGAGGAAGATGCAAAGGATTAAAAAACACCACCGGGTTTAGCCAGAGGCAGGTGGCTCGTATTCACCCTTCCTGGTGAGATGCAGAGGCAATTAAAACCAAGCTTAGTAAAAAAGAAAAAAAGAAAGAAGGAGGTTCATGAAACTGCTGAAAGGCGCAACGAGATAACAAGTACATTTTCAGGTCCTATTGGGGCGAAACAAGTAGAACGGAAAGTTGAATATGACATTGTTCAGATTTAGCCGATGAAAAATTAGTTTCCAGATAAGAATATATATGAAACGATAGTGCCGCTCCCAACTCTTCCGATTGTAGAGGAAAGGGATTTTCCCTCCTGACTCGGCAGTCTCGAGACACTACAATGGTGGCGGAGACTGCTGAGATGCTTTGGACACGGGGCGGCGAATAAAAATCTCTACTTGTGACAATTGAAAAGAAAGTTCTATATTTTATGAGCAGGCACTTGTGTGAAACGCGCCACGGCGGCGGCAGTCAGTATGAGCAGGACACAGTGCGTCAGTCTGTGCGTAGAGGGTGCAGTAGCAGGAGGAGGAGGAGTATGAGATCCTATGGATACGGACTGACGCAGACACAACCGCCAGTATAGCAGGCCAGGCGAACGCAACTCCCGGCAAGGTTCGGCAGTTGGTGCAAGGACAACAGACGCAGCGGACGCGCCGCACAGACAGATCGCCACGCTCAAGCGCCAGCGCTCTCACGGATACGACCTGAAGAAGGCGACGGGAAAAGTTTATGTCGCAGGCAGCCATGCCCCCGTGTCGCCAGTCGGTGCAGTGAGCTATCAAGAAAGATCCACACCACACCGCCGAAGCACAATAAACTGAAGCTGAACAGCAACGAAGGGGAACACGTGCGGTCATGTACCGACGTACTCCTGAGCAAAGCCGTCGTCTGCATCGTACTCGGCCACCTGCGGGCAGCTCTGGAGAGACGTGGCGCAGGCGGCGTGCGACGAAAGCGACTCCTCGTCGAAGCTGGTCGGCGCACTGATGGAGCTGGTGATGAATGGGCGCGTGGCCGTGGACTGTCGCTGTATGCGCTGCCGGCGGTACACCTCCGCGTCATCCATGGCCTGCTTGGGCGGCAGTGCGTTCAGCCGCCAGTTGTAGTCGGTGAACTGCATCTCGATGGGCGAGGAGAAGCACATGTCGTTCATCAGTTCCAGGTTGAAGAGCTGCTGCTTGGACATGTACTGGCTGCACCATCTGTGTGTGCGTGTGTGTGTGTGTGTGTGCGCGCGTGTAGAGGGGTAGACATAGATAGATAGAGAGAGAGACACACACACACACACACACACACACACACACACACACACACACACATACATATGGTGAGATAGAGACAGAGATAGGTAGATAGATAGAAAGAGAGAGAGAGAGAGAGAGAGAGAGAGAGAGAGAGAGAGAGAGAGAGAGAGAGAGAGAGACACACACACACACACACACACACTACTACTACTATTGACAGCTGCCAGAAATGGCCACGCCGCTCCCCGACACACACACACAGATAAAGAGAGAGGGAGAGAGTGAGTGAGAGAGAGAGAGAGAGAGAGAGGGAGAGAGAGAGCATTAGTTAGAGAACATTGAGAATCAACAGAACCTCGGCAGCTAATTTAATGCATGTATATTCGGCCATTCTGAGAGAGAGAGAGAGAGAGAGAGAGAGAGAGAGAGAGAGAGAGAGAGAGAGAGAGAGAGAGAGAGAGAGAGAGAGAGAGTGATAGATAGATAGAGATTCCATGGCAAAATATAATCGCCATTGTTTAACCCCCAACATACACGCAGACATAAGCGCAGCTACTGACTCACTGAATGATCTCTTCCTTGGTGTCTCCAAAGTCCTGACCATACCAGGAGAATATCCGCGGTAAGCAAATCTATACCATGAAATACACACACGGGTGCGGGCGTGCACACATAGGCAGACATACACACATATGCGCACGCACACACACATGCAGGTACACACACACACACACATGCCAGACGCACAGATTAAAGGGAAACTGAACGCCAAAAATAAGTATGGCTTATCCGAAGGAGAATTGGGCACTGATTCCGATGAGCTATGTCTCGAGCCGATCAGAGAAAAGGAACCGTGTCAAATTTCATAAATAACACCTTCCATATTTGGAAATTGGGCTTGATGACGTGCGTACTGCTTAGCTGTCACCATGCTGTGCATGCTCAGCAGTGTAATTGAATGGAAGAAAACAATTACTTTGGTGTTTTGCAGCTCTATTTCGTTCCCTGACGGTAACCAAATCTAGATGTAGGAATCTGTTGAGCAGGAGAGCGACACATGTCTTCCCGAAGGCTGTCCAGCCTGCAGTGGTGATGAAGAAGACACGAATATCACCCCAAGATCGATTGTAGCGAATTGAAAAACACATGGTGAATTTGCTTCCACTCCAAGGCAATGTCGAGGTATGAAGGGTGCTTGTACTGCCTTCCAAAGTGAAGCGGAGATGAACATGGCTTTGCATAGCTGTTGTTCTACGCCAACTTACCTACTCTTGCTGGTACCGTAGTGGTATATTGCAAATTTCGTGGACGAACAATTCGAGTCACTAGTGGCTAGTGAGCAACACTAACAGGTGAGATTTTTCAATTTGACAAAAAATTGTTCTTGTTTGAGAGACGGTGGCAGTCATTAGACTCAGTAGGCGTCTCTCTGCGGCTTCTTTCCCTTCATCGATAGGGTTGTGCTTGAAGTCGAAATAAATAGAACATGTGGAACAAAAATCTGATCATGTAATTCGAATTTCAATTTCAAAGTATGTGTACATCAAATCACAAAAAATTCAATATGGTGCTGTGCACTGAAAAAGACTGGGAGCTGGCAGCAATGGAAAGGGTAGAAACGAAACCAGTAAAGTAGAGTATTCATAAGGTAGAGGGAGTTGAAAACGGGAGACGAGTAGTGAGCATTTCAGTTCGAAGTAGTGTCAATAGACAGCATCGTGTTGCATATGTTGTGAATATTGTGCGAATCTAATAATTGGCAGAGGGTAGTGATTAAGCAGAGTATTGTTACAATACGAGGTACTTTGTGAGCAGATAGCAATCAATATCACGACATGGTTTAGACAGGAACTCATAAATGTCAAGAAATTGATAATCCAAAATTATAATTATTATCCCTTGAGTAGTATAATTATTATGGTGTTCTCCTGTGTTTACATGCAGAGCCTTGACGTTGTTGGACGAGCGACAATATAAATTACATAAACTTGTAGCTCATAATGTCGGATGACTGCCGTATTGCATTGCCAACGCAAACCCATCCTGTGTCAGTGCAGCCATCCAGCAACTTGTACTCCCCGGACCAGATGCCGCTGCAGCTGAACACCATGCCGATGGAAAGCCAGGAGTTGATGGCGAAGCACTCTGGTCTGCACAGTACAAGGCAAAGAACAATTATGAATTATAACGCATTGTAATCCTTCCCACACGTCTTTGTAAAAACAAACAAACAGTGCCATTATCACAACACTTGATCAAGCATCTTGATGGAGGTATTTGCCATTGTGCTGGCCCAGCATCTGCACCAGGAAGACCATGTACACGTACAAGTATCTTGTGTGTGTGTGTGTGTGTGTTTGTGCGTGTGTATCCGTTTGTGTACACGTGTGTGTGTGTGTAGGGGGGGGGGGGGGTAGACGCATATGTGTATGGGTAGGAGTGTGTGTGTGGGGGGGGGGGGGGTTCACGCACATGTGTATGGATGTGCGCGC